GGACTGTGTTTTCTACAGCTGCCTGTACCAATGCATCCTGCAGCGGCCAAGGTGAATGCATAGAGACCATCAATAACTACACTTGCAAGTGCTACCCTGGCTTCAGTGGACTCAAGTGTGAACAAGGTAAGTCTTGTTCTCACCAGTTCCTTCATTTGAGATGGTAGCAACTTCTCATATCCTGGCTGGCTTTGGGGTCAGATCTGTATGTCTTCCCTTCTCTGGTGTATATGGTGTGATATGGTGATTAAGAGTTGACCTACGAAGTCAGACCCTTCTGTCTTCCAATCCCAGATTCACCACTTAGGTATGGCACCTTGACAAGGTAGTTAAACTCTCTGGGTCCCAGCTTTCTCATTGTAAAATGAGGGCAATGATAGTACCGACTTTATAGGCTGTGGTTACATAGTGCCTGGCACACAAGAAACATTCAGTACACAGCAGCTATCATTTCCAGTCACCTATACAAGGTGAGAGATGAGCAAAACTGATTCAACTTCCTTTTTCAGTTGTGACCTGTGAAGCACAGGAAGCCCCTGAGCACGGAAGTCTGGTTTGCACCCACCCTTTGGGGAGCTTCAGCTACAATTCTTCCTGCTCTGTCCGCTGTGAAAGGGGCTACCTGCCAAGCAGCACGGAGAGCACGCAGTGTACGTCCTCCGGAGAATGGAGTGCTCCTACTCCAGCCTGCCATGGTAAATCTCTCTCAGAATGCACAGAACATTCTCTAACTCATCCCTCATTGACTTAGTTTTTTTTTTTTAATCCAGCTTATAACATTTTCAAAACTCCAGGGAAAGTTCTTAATAAAACTTGTTCTCTTGTCCAATGTGTATGGCCAATAGCAGGACTAAACTCTACCATTGCCTTCATGTTTCCCCTCCCTAGTGCTTCTCATTAAAGAAAGTGGAGCCTGGTCTTACAACGCCTCCACGGAAAGCATGACTTATGATGAGGCCAGTACTTATTGTCAGCAAAGGTACACACATCTGGTTGCAATTCAAAACAAAGAAGAGATCAAGTACCTGAACTCCATAATGAGCTACGCACCAAGTTATTACTGGATTGGAATCAGAAAGGTCAACAACGTGTGGGTCTGGGTAGGCACCCAGAAGCCTCTGACAGAAGAAGCCAAAAACTGGGCTCCAGGTGAGCCGAACAATAAGCAAAATGACGAGGACTGCGTAGAGATCTACATCAAGAGAGGCAAAGATGAGGGCATGTGGAATGACGAGAGATGCAGCAAAAAGAAACTTGCCTTGTGCTACACAGGTAGGGAGTTTGCGGCAGCAGTGGGCGGTAGGTTCAGTGTGTGGGCATCTTGACAAATTTACAGTATGCAACAATTGGTATCTATTGTGGTAAGTTAATGTTCTAAAAGATACGATTCTAAAACATTCTGTTTAACTGCTATAGTATTTCTTTTTGCTTCTTTGTGTGAATGTAGGCAAGAATGTGTGTACATATGCATACATGTATGCATATATATATGTAGTTCTGTACATAAATAGAATGCATGTACACACATAAATCTAAATTTTGGTTACTTGCTTATTTGTGGTAAGGGAACTGTCTTCAGAGTTTGTGGTAAAGTGAACTTTTCATGCTTGGTGCCAGCTGTAGCTACACTCCAGATGTACAGACATTAATATCAAGGCTTAAAATAGATGAGCCTGAAACTCAGATTTGATACCTTGCAAAGCACTTCAGTTAAAATTTCTGGCAGTCTGTATCCTTGGTGATGTCTCTTAGACACCGTCGATCTTAGAGTCAAAGGAACTCATTATAAGCACAATAACAATTCTCCTCCTTATGGACTGTGTTTTCTACAGCTGCCTGTACCAATGCATCCTGCAGCGGCCAAGGTGAATGCATAGAGACCATCAATAACTACACTTGCAAGTGCTACCCTGGCTTCAGTGGACTCAAGTGTGAACAAGGTAAGTCTTGTTCTCACCAGTTCCTTCATTTGAGATGGTAGCAACTTCTCATATCCTGGCTGGCTTTGGGGTCAGATCTGTATGTCTTCCCTTCCCTGGTGTATATGGTGTGATATGGTGGTTAAGAGTTGACCTACGAAGTCAGACCCTTCTGTCTTCCAATCCCAGATTCACCACTTAGATATGGCACCTTGACAAGGTAGTTAAACTCTCTGGGTCCCAGCTTTCTCATTGTAAAATGAGGGCAATGATAGTACCGACTTTATAGGCTGTGGTTACATAGTGCCTGGCACACAAGAAACATTCAGTACACAGCAGCTATCATTTCCAGTCACCTATACAAGGTGAGAGATGAGCAAAACTGATTCAACTTCCTTTTTCAGTTGTGACCTGTGAAGCACAGGAAGCCCCTGAGCACGGAAGTCTGGTTTGCACCCACCCTTTGGGGAGCTTCAGCTACAATTCTTCCTGCTCTGTCCGCTGTGAAAGGGGCTACCTGCCAAGCGGCACGGAGAGCACGCAGTGTACGTCCTCCGGAGAATGGAGTGCTCCTACTCCAGCCTGCCATGGTAAATCTCTCTCAGAATGCACAGAACATTCTCTAACTCATCCCTCATTGACTTAGTTTTTTTTTTTTTTTTAATCCAGCTTATAACATTTTCAAAACTCCAGGGAAAGTTCTTAATAAAACTTGTTCTCTTGTCCAATGTGTATGGCCAATCCAGTACCTGCTTAGTTTGAGAGGTTTTTATTCTATGTTTGAAATGGTTGTTTCTGAGGCTCTGGTGATTTGTAAGATAAAACAGTGGAACCCTATTCTATGAATATTAATGACTTTCTCATCTTCTTTCCCTGCTTAACTTTCCCATGCATGGGACTAATTTAAGACAATAATTAATCAAGCAGTCTCAATATCTCTTTTTCTCTATCCATTTTATCTTTCTGGACCAGAGGCAAAGAAAATTTTTATCCTTCAGGTCCTGCTGGGCTAAAATAAATGGAATATCCTGTGTATGTCAGTATTGTTTTTACCGCAACTAGTCATCAGTCCTGATCTGGAATCTGTTTTATTCTTAATTTTTGCCTTATGTGATTTTTATTTTGACTAGTAAATATAAAAATTAAAGTAAAAATTAATCAAGGTAAAAATTAATCAGAGGAGATGAAAATATCAATTAATAAAAGTTTTAATGTGGGTGTGCATGTCCCCAGGAATTGACATAGAGCTTTGGGTTCTACCCATTGAAGGCAGCCTCTTCACTTTATTATTATAAACTCCAATTCAGTAGGAGTGAGAATATCATTCTTCTCTCAAATTCATGGTGCTCTTTCAAATCCCCAGTGGTTGAGTGTGATGCTTTGACAAATCCTGACAACGGGGTGATGGAATGTTTCCAAAGTCCTGGAAGTTTCCTGTGGAACACAACCTGCACATTTGACTGTGAGGAAGGATTTGAACTAACGGGAGCCCAGCACCTCCAGTGTACCTCATCTGGGAATTGGGATAATGAGATACCAACATGTAAAGGTAGATTTGTTCCACATTAAGACTTGCTGTAAACATTCTTTTTCTCAACCTGTACTTGAAATGGGCAAGCCAAACCTGCTAATATAAATGGGTACTTATGTTACAGCCGTGACATGCGATGCTCTCCACCAGCTTCAGAATGGCTCTGTGAGCTGCAGCCACTCCCCTGCCGGAGAGTTCACCTCTAAGTCATCCTGCAACTTCACCTGTGAGGAAAGCTTCATGTTGCAGGGGCCGGCCCAGGTTGAATGCACCACACAAGGGCAGTGGACACAGCAAATCCCAGTCTGTGAGGGTAAGCCTGAGATTCTCTCCTTTACATTCATTGTCTTTTCTTAAAAAGCTGCAATCTTCACACTCGGGCGGTGGAAATGAAACTAGATGTCCACTTTAACTATAGAAATCAGATTTGATGGGCAACACTTATCTTACATCTTTGAGATTCATATAAAAGAACCAATGCTTGACCGCAGAAAGAAAGGACTGTATGCAATAATAGTGGATGCTTTGCTGATTTCTTAACTATGCTAATATAACTTTATAGACATTGGCATGGAGTAGGCAGAATTCTTAAAGGAAATCACATAGAAAATTTTAAAAGCAGAATAAGAACATAACTTGAACCTAAAACTCTTGTCATACCTTTCTTCCAAAATTGGTCATAAGTAGGAGTGATGAGAATGTAGCATGGTGTCAGTTACAGGGACAGTCTTGATACCTACATAAACACTAAAATTTAATTCACTTTAAAGCAAGAGCAAGAATATTGAAAACAAGCAGATTTCACTATCAGGCACTGGGATTCTCATAGCCAAATATATCACAGAATGATTTCCATTGGTGAAAAGTTGCAACGCCAAAACCCAACTGCAAAGCAGACAAACTTTACATGGGTGCCCTCTCTGCTTCCTTTCTTTTGGCACCACCTGTAAGTATTCAGGACCCAGAAGTTCCTCTCTGGCTGCATAAAATCTTTCCCCTGACCCTAACTTCGTTTGCATGTCAGGAACAGTGCTCAGGAACCAATGTTCCTGTTAAAGGCTGTCCTTTAATTAGTGCCATTGGAATTCAGAGAAATCACAGCCACCTTCCCAGTTGTCCAGGGAATAATGAAAAATCTTGAGTTCTCCAAATGTTTCTTTGTCCCAGATGAACTGGGTTCACTAATCAAATGGTAAGTTCTTCTGCAATATTTTCTGACCTTCATTTTGATGTCTCAGCTTTCCAGTGCAGAGCCTTGTCCAGCCCAGAGAGAGGCTACATGAATTGTCTTCCTAGTGCTTCTGGAAGTTTCCAAAGTGGGTCCAGCTGTGAGTTCTTCTGTGAGCAGGGATTTGTGCTGAAGGGATCCAAAAGTCTCCAGTGTGGCCTCACAGGGGAGTGGGACAGCGAGAAGCCCATATGTGAAGGTAGTCTTTGTTTATATTTTATTATAAGATAAAAACTATTGAAGAGCGTAGGCATATGGTTACCTTGAGAAACCCATTGTTATTTAATGCAAACAAACCTCTCAAGTTCTCGCTCATGTCTTTCAGCTGTGAAATGTGATGCTGTCCGCCAGCCCACAAGTGGCTCGGTGCAGTGTACTCATTCCCCTACTGGAGAATTCACTTACAAGTCCTCTTGTGCCTTCAGCTGTGCGGAAGGCTTTGAATTACATGGATCAGCTCAACTTGAGTGCACATCTCAGGGACGGTGGACACAAGAGGTCCCCTCTTGCCAAGGTAAGACTGAGTTCAGACTCTTGGGTATGGGTCAAATACTTCATTAAGTTTCTGGACCTTGGTGTCCCCAAGGGGCTTGATTTCTAACTTCCTACATGCTGAAAATTAGTGCTTATAAGTTACATTTATTGGTGACTTTTAAGCCAGTTTTAATACTTTTCCAGTAGATATTTCTTAACCTCTACCCATGTACCTATCACTTGCAGTGGTACAATGTTCAAGCCTGGAAGTTCCAGGAAAGATCAACATGAGCTGCAGTGGAGAGGCTGTGTTTGGTACCATGTGCAAATTTGCATGTCCTGAAGGATGGATGCTCAATGGCTCTGCAGCTCTGATGTGTGGTGCCACAGGACACTGGTCTGGGATGCTGCCTACCTGTGAAGGTGATACACCTATGGTGGTTGTCTGGGGAAGCTATCTTGCTTCAGTATTTAACTATCTATTATATCCAGACCAGAAAGGTTACCCAGGTTAAGGAGCTGGTGAATATTTAATTTTATGGAGATAAACAGAAAACAGAAGAGGTGGCATGTTGAAGGAATGGGTAAAATTCCGACAATTGAGAAAAGGAGAACTAGAGGGAAAATGAGGAGGAGGAAATAGAAAATGAGAGGTGGGGAGAGGGAGAGGGAGAGAGAGAGAGAGAGAGAGAGAGAGAGAGAGAGAGAGAGAGAGAGAGAGAGTAGTATTAACCAAGGTGTAGTGTGGTATTGTGAAAGAGTTTGGTCTGTTAGAGTTCTGCCTGGCAGTGGTAGGAGATAGTCAAAGGTGGTTTGGGGCAGTTCTAAAAGGCCTTTAATGGACAGGACATAAAGGCTTTAAAGTCATTTCCTTTTCATGACTTTTTTTCTCCTCTTGTTTCCTTAGCTCCCCCTGAGTCCAGCATTCCCATGGCAGTTGGACTTTCTGCTGCTGGATTCTCGCTCCTGTCGTTAGCATCATTTCTCTTCTGGCTTCTGAAATACTTCCGGAAGAGAGGTGAGGGAGTTAATGAATGTACTCCAAATATGCTTTTGAAAGTATATTTTTTTCTCATTGATGAATCTTGGTGTCTCTTGCACATTTAGACAGTACTTAGAATCTAGTTATTAGATAAACACCAATAAACTGCAGTGTAATAAAGCAGAAGTCTTAGGAAAAGAGTTCATGGTGCAACTCAAAGTGGGGAGAGTTTTGGGAAATAGAAATGTTAGTTGTGCTCACATTGTACAATTCCAGGGGGTGTTATTCACATTGAATTCTATGGCACTACCTGGAATTGTGCGAGACTGCCATCTTTGTGTTCTCAGGAAAATGAATAAAATCCTCCCTTAAAAGATTTGTTTGGAATTCAGGCTTACATCTGAGAATAACTTCTAGAGAATATGCAAACACATCTAGCCACAGTCTTGGTTTGTTTGGCCTACAGAGTATTTAAAACTTTTTGACTTAAGTTCTGACATTTACAAAATAGGAAATTACACATAAAAATCCAGATTTTGGACTTCTCATGGAAAATTGGAAGATGAACCTGGCAGGCTGAGCACGTAACTATTTGCTGGTGTTAGGAAGCTGCTGTGCCCTTGGACGGGTGGGCACTTTGCATTTTACCATAGTTGCCACCACGTCATGTTTATGCTCTTGGTTCTATAGCAGCCTTGAGGCACTGAATTTGCAAAGAATCATTATATTTTGTCTTGTTTTAGTATGTCCTTAGAAGTCATTTAGTCTGAATTATTTTTTTTTTTTTTTTTTCTCTTGCAGCAAAGACATTTATTCCTGCCAGGTAAGCTGCATTGTTGCACAAAGCATGCCATTGAACATTCTGCTCATTTTTATCTCTTCATGTTGGAAAACAATGCTTTACTCAGTGTTTTCATGTGTTCCACAGCAGCTGCCAAAGCCTTCAAGCAGATGGAAACTACCAAATGCCTCCTGACTTCCTTTAAGTTCAAAAGAATCAGGTAAGACTTGAAAATCACATACAGTTATGAGAGAGTGTGTCCTCTCTAGATGTTGTTTCTCCTGGAACCCTCCAAACACGCCAATTTCTTGGGTGGAATCACCACCTTCACGGTATATTCTGAAAAGTCATTTTGTTTCTTTGTAGAAGGAGAGGAAAGAAACATCTGGCTTTGCTGAGTCATTTCATTTATGAAAGATAATAATGATGATGATAGCTGACCCTTACATAGCACTTAACTATGTGCTAGGAACTGGTCTAAGATAATGAAATCTATGAGATAGGCATTATTACTATATTTCTCATCACATAGATGAGGAAAATGAGGCACGGAGTAGTTAAGCAACTTGCCTAAAATCTCGTAGCTAGTAAGTGGTGTTACCAGGATTCAAACCCGGGCAGTCTGGTTCTAGAATTTGTGTTCTTAACCAATCTGTTTAGCTTTGTGAGAATTTGGGATAGTCAAGTTCCTCTGACTTTTAGGTTTTAGGTTTACGGAAAAATCGAGTAGAAAATACAGAGTTCCAACATACCTTCTCACTCCCTAGCCCCTCCCCCCAATTTCTTCTATTATTAACATCTTGTGTTAGTTGTATTTGTTATAACTGATGGACCAATATCAATGTGTTATTATTAATTGAAGTCCACAGGTTACATTAGGGTTCACTCTGTGTGTTGCACATTCTGTAGGTTTTGACAGATGTGTAGTGACACGTATCCACAATTGTCATACACAATACTTTCACTGTCTTCATTGGACAGAATTTGATGTCTGTAATTGATCTACCCCAGTGAGAGTGTGCACAGTGGTCTTATTAGAAGGTACATTTTGTGTTGCTATCAGTATGTAGAATATTAAGTGTTCTGATGACATGCACACTTATATTTTCAGGAACACAGGTGCATCCAGGGAACTAGAGCGATACCTGAAAGCAGCAGAAACAGAGAGGTGTCTCCTTGGGTCTCTGGCCGTTCTCACCTATTGTACCTGCTGCCTTTACAGCTGGGACCATAGCACCCACCATGATTTCAACAGATAAGAATCCAGTGGGCAAGGATAGCCTCCCGCCGAAAAGACTGTTTTCTCTTTCTGATTCTCAGGATCAAGAAGGTGCTGGCTACTGAAGGGAAAAGATTTTTTTTTTCCAAGCAAGAAGAGATCAAAGCTCTGGAATCTCAGAATTCCTTTTCTAACTCTCCCTTGCTCACTATGAAATCTCAGTGGAGAGACAATACTTTGTGGCTTTGTTTCTTCCTTTTGCCCCTCACAGTGTTTCAACTGCTGATTACGTAGTTGCTATCATGGGGGTGGATAAGAAGTATCAAGAGTTATCAAGAGGAAACAAATTGGCCAAAATATCCTATTTCTAACTTGAAAAAAAATGGCACATATTAAATGCCCACAGGTGACCGTATGGGAGGGTTGTTAACAGTGCAAATACTACTTAATGCTTTGTGCAAGGATTGCTCAGTACAGTCTTAGTCACTTTTATCCCTATGGGATTTAGTGCTTTTAAAAGAATTCTTAGAGACTGTGATCTTTTTATTTGCTTGATCTACCCCAGTGAGAGTGTGCACAGTGGTCTTATTAGAAGGTACATTTTGTGTTGCTATCAGTATGTGGAATATTAAGTGTTCTGATGACATGCACACTTATATTTTCAGGAACACAGGTGCATCCAGGGAACTAGAGCGATACCTGAAAGCAGCAGAAACAGAGAGGTGTCTCCTTGGGTCTCTGGCCGTTCTCACCTATTGTACCTGCTGCCTTTACAGCTGGGACCATAGCACCCACCATGATTTCAACAGATAAGAATCCAGTGGGCAAGGATAGCCTCCCGCCGAAAAGACTGTTTTCTCTTTCTGATTCTCAGGATCAAGAAGGTGCTGGCTACTGAAGGGAAAAGATTTTTTTTTTCCAAGCAAGAAGAGATCAAAGCTCTGGAATCTCAGAATTCCTTTTCTAACTCTCCCTTGCTCACTATGAAATCTCAGTGGAGAGACAATACTTTGTGGCTTTGTTTCTTCCTTTTGCCCCTCACAGTGTTTCAACTGCTGATTACGTAGTTGCTATCATGGGGGTGGATAAGAAGTATCAAGAGTTATCAAGAGGAAACAAATTGGCCAAAATATCCTATTTCTAACTTGAAAAAAAATGGCACATATTAAATGCCCACAGGTGACTGTATGGGAGGGTTGTTAACAGTGCAAATACTACTTAATGCTTTGTGCAAGGATTGCTCAGTACAGTCTTAGTCACTTTTATCCCTATGGGATTTAGTGCTTTTAAAAGAATTCTTAGAGACTGTGATCTTTTTATTTGCACAGAATGTTGTATAATCTTCCACAATTCTTAATTCAGTACAAGTGTTGTAAGGACTTTTAAATTTTGTAAATGGTTGTGGAGTACGTTAGGGTAAAAATTACTTATCCTAGATCACCACCTCTTAGTTTATTAACAAATTCTAATGTTACGTCTGTAGTAAGTGTATTTCAAAACAGGGCACATATTGTTGCCTAGCAAAGCATAATGTTAACCAGTGTAAAGGTCTAAGTATTTTACTACAGTTGTATTTCAAACATGGTAGTATCAGAAGAGTAAAAACTGAGTGGAAGGTTTGTATATTGCCAGGTTTTTTTTCCCCCAGAAATGTGTGGTTTCTGTTATGAGAAATTTTCATGAGGCCAAATGTTCTGATTTGATAAAAGCATAAATGAAAACAAGTGAAGGTACAATTTTATGAATGTTTTGCAAATACATGTAGAAATACAGATGTGTTTTGCATTTCTACAAAGATATTTGTCAGTTGTTATATGTAAACACATAATTCTTGTATGTCACATAGGATTTTAAAACCATGGTAGAAACTCACCATGTAAAGAATTCATCTAGTGGATTTTTTTTAAAAGTGAAGATGTCTAATAATCATTCCCAAGTTGTTTTATTCTGTATGTTAGGGTTTTCTGGAAGAGGAGAAAGTCTGTGCGAGCAAATATTTATGTTTATTTATAAGCAGAGTTCAAAATTCCTAAGGAATCTCCAGTTATCAGTTGATCACTGTCAGTGAGGAATTCTTGGTCAAGAATCAACACTCTCTGAGAATTCCATTAACTCAGCATGTGTTGAAGAAGAAACGTTTCAGAGAAGTGCTGGCTGAACGCCAACAATGGCAAAACCCACAGCAAACAGTGAGGTGTGATAAGAACCAAAACAGCAGAGGTTTTTCACGGAGCCCAGGAACTCTGGCAAATGAAAGAGAGTGAGAGAGAGAGAGAACAACTATTGATCAGGGTACAGATGAAATAAACTACTAATTTCTCTAAAATTGTTCAAATGTTGTAAGTATTTATACATACTGCATTAGAAATAGTAGTGTGAAAGATAAATGTGGTCTGTATTGGGGTTTTATAAAGTATTTTAAATTATGATTTAAAATATTTCACAGTTTTTAAGGTATGTATTTATTTAAGCTTATGTCAGACTTATTGTATTTGTCATGGTTAACATAGCACTATAAAGTTTGACAATAAATGTGTTTATATTTATCTCTGTGTATAGGCTATTTCTTAATTTATTTAGCTTATACTTCCATAACATAAAATTCTCTGTTTTAAAATGTGTGAGATCATGCAACTATCACCACTATAAAACTCCAGAAAATTTCTATCACCCCAAAAAGAAACTCTGTACCCATTAGCAGTCACTTCCCATTCATCCCTTCCCAACACCCTGATAGCTACTAATCTACTTTCTGTCTCTATCAATTTGCCTATGGGACATTTCACATAACTAGAATCAAACAATATGTGACCTTTTGTGTTTGGCATCTTTCACTCAGCATAATGTTTTCAAGGTTCATCCATGTTATAGCACGTATCATTTCCTTTAATAACTCAATAATATTCCATTATATGACTATACCACATTTCGCTTATCCATTCATTAATTGGCCTCTGTAATTATGTGAGCCAATTCCTATAATCAGTCTCCACAGATGCACATGCCAATTCTCAGTGTTAGTACCATGGGAATGGGTTAGAGCTTTTTATGGAAGAAAACAAAAATTTATACGGAAGTCAAGAGCTTCTGGTCTTATTTTAGTTAGAAATAATAACTATAGCTTTCACTCTGAAATTTTAGCTTCCCTTTCCCAAATTCTAAGCCAAGAGAAATAAAAATCTTTCTCTCTTCATATATACATATATCTGTCATAATGATAGTTTATAAAATCATTGTACTCCTTGTACCAGCCAGCCACCAAAAAATGAAAATAAAAATAAAAGTAAATAAATAAATAAAACAAAGCCAGAGCACTAAGATAGGTCTCCTGTCTTTGTCAAAAATAAGAATAAAACCACAACAGGGTTTTGTCTGTAATCAAAGAGATTTTTTTTCCCTTTACCCGATCTCCCAGTGGTGCCAAATCCTATCAAAGCTTCTTTTAATAGTAACTCCCATCAACTGTGTTCCATTTCCTGACAGCCCTCAAGAAGGGGTACTTATCACCACTCCTGGATTATATGATAAAACTTCCAAAAGTTCATTGGTCTCCAGGTTCTCAGTCTGCTGCTGAGATGCACTGTGGGTCCAAATCCTTAACATAGCACACAAATCATACAAAATCTAGTCCAGGCTCATCTCCCAACCTTTCTTGGGTCTCCAACTTACAGATGGCAGATCAGATTGTAGTATTTCTCAGCCTCCATAATTGTGTGAGTCAGTTCCTCTAATAAGTCTATACACACATGCATGCACGCACACCCACACATATACCCTATCGATTCTGTTTCTCTGAAAAACCCTAATACATGTCCCTTCATGAGAATTCACTCCTTAGACTAGATCTCCTCCCTATGCTCTTATATTTTTTCCTTTAATAAATGATTATTTGTGTAATTATTTGTTTAATACCTGTCTTCCCCACTAGACTTTATGTTCCTTAAAGGTAGGGACAAATTATCTTGCTCATTGCTATATTCCCAGAACCTAGTATATTTCTGGCACATAGTAGACACTCAACAATATTTATTGAATAAATAAATGAAGAAGTGGATAAATGAATGCATATCTGAGTTCATCATAAGAAGCAGGATCACTTTTAACAAATGGAATGAGTTGTCTTAGCAGGCGAGTATTCACAATACAGTTATGTATCAACAGCCCCCCTCCACTTCTGTTTGCTGTCTAATATACCTACCTACCTCACAGAAAGTCCAGCAATTATTTCAACCCCAAATCCAGTAATGGGGCTTGTGGGTATCATTGTAAGGACTAGAGACTAATAAAGAAACAGGAAGAAAAAAAAGTAATGGGAGGTAGAAAAAGAGCACAAGAGGAAGTAACAAAAAAGAGAGAAAAAGGAAAGGTACTGAAATAAAAAAAATACAGTACAAAAAATAAGCAGTACAGATGGCAGAGAAGGGAGAGTTTCAGTTCTGGAGCCACTTACCTGGGAGCTTAAACCACACACACAAGTGCATGTGCTCACATGTGCACACACACAGATATACAGACACACATTTATCTCTATGTCATAACCCACAGGTAGATTTACCTTGAAGGTGGTGAAAGTTAAGCTTCAGAGTCCATTACATATGGGTACCTTTACATTACAAGGGCCTGTGTCATAGAAATGTGTTCACATGGTAATGTATTTTTGTAAAATAAAAGCAAAGTACTTTTGTATTCCTTTTCTTAAATAAAGACTCCAAATTGTACGAACCTCAGGTCCTGCAAAGTCCTAAATCTGTTCCTGATCCAACCTAGAATATTCTGATTCAGTAGGTTTGGGGGTAAATGCTGTGCCTTTTTTTTAGAAAATGTCACCAAGTGATTTTGATACACAGCCAAGTTTGGAAATCACTGACAAAGGACTATGGACTGATAAGTTTAATGAGTCCCTGACATCTAAGTAGTATTTATTTCTGGAGTTTTATCACCATTGGTTGAGATATAAACCATATAACACGATGTAGTTTGGAAAAAGCTGACAATTGGCAACGTTCACTTCCACATTGTAGTGACAAATCACATAACCCTCTGTGCTGAGTAACTGACTATCCACTTGTATGTACTGGTTGTAACAATACAGTTCTTTTTAACCATGGAGGAAGGGAATTTGAACATAACAGTAACAGTTGCTAATACCAAGAAAATAGAGCGAATAGGGTTTATTTAAAAAATTTTTTAAAAGTCCAGTTATGGAAGGAAAATACATCTAGCAACACTGCAGAATAGAATGGAAATAAATAAGGAGAATGTTGATGGTTAGAAATAAAAGAATGAGTTAATGGCTCGGAGGGTCAATGAAGTAGAATTAAAAGGCAATGCAATGAGATACTTGAGCAATAAGACTTCAAAAATAGGAGACTGTGGTTAAAGAAAAAGATGCTTGAT